CAAACATCTATCGTCCTTATCTCTCCTCCTTCTTTCCTATCAAACATCTATCGTCCTTATCTCTCCTCCTTCTTTCCTATCAAACATCTATCGTCCTTACTTCTCCTCCTCCTATTCTTCGTCTGTTACTCTCTTGTGACACCTCTAATTGAGTGAACTTACATAACCTAATTGTGTCACAAGTGCAGTAAAACATTTAGAAAACTATCTTTTAATTAAAAATTCCTACCTGTTGCATAGGCACACTGAGGTTGGAAAAGGTGACGGTGTACTCTGGGGATTCGAACACGGGGCTGTTGTCGTTGATGTCTACCACCTCCACCACCACAGTCAGATTGGAGTGTTGGGGTGGCACGCCGTGGTCTGTGGCCTGCCGATGGCAAAACGACATACATGGAGTGGTCATGACAAAACGACATACGTGGAGCGGTCATGACATAACGACATACGTGGCGTGGTCATGACATAACGACATACGTGGCGTGGTCATGAAAAAACGACATACGTGGAGTAGTCATGACAAAACGACATACGTGGAGTAGTCATGACAAAACGACATACGTGGAGTGGTCATGACAAAACGACATACGTGGCGTGGTCATGACAAAACGACATACGTGGAGTGGTCATGACAAAACGACATACGTGGCGTGGTCATGACAAAACGACATACGTAGAGTGGTCATGGCAAAACAACATACGTGGAAACGACATACGTGGAGTGGTCATGACAAAACGACATACGTGGTGTGGTCATGACAAAACGACATACGAGATCTTGCTAGTTTTCTTAATGATTATGTCGAATGTTTCTTTAATAAAACAACATAAGTGGGGTTGTCACCAAAAAACAACATAAGTGGGGTTGTCACCAAAAAACAACATAAGTGGGGTTGTCACCAAAAAACAACATAAGTGGGGTTGTCATAAAAAAACAACATAAGTGTCCACCCCCACCCACCCTCCTTTTATTGGATACCTTTGAGTATAAGCCTGATTCCCAGTTCAGACTTCTCTGTTGACATCCCCCC